TTCCACACCCAGGCAGAGGGATCATCCTAAAATGCAAAGCTGATTATTGCTTTCTGCTGCTGAAAAAATTTCCACTGCTTTCCTCTGGGATTGGCTCTTCCATTCACTAAGAACAGACTGAGTGTTTCTCCCATAATAACTACACAGGTTCTATCAGACTCTATTGTAATTATCTACCTGTCTATAAGACCCAAATAGACAAAAGCTCCTTCCTTTGTTCAATTAGTTAGTAGCTATTTATTGAAACCCTCCCATGCACAATGTGCTGTTAATCAAGCAGTGAGTAGAACAAACACTGTCCCTGCCTCATGAGAGTGACTCACATATTTGTCATCCCGTCACCCATGCTGAGCACAGTTTTTGGCACATAGCGGTTGCTTAATAAGCGTTTGCTGAGTAAATAAATGATAAAATGAGTGCTGTCGATTAAAGACTAATTACCCTCATCCCTTTTCCAATTTTAGAATAAAATTCATGGGAACAAATTTTATAAAAGCGATCTTCATGGTCAATGTTTACAGAAAGTGTCTTTTTATTCCAAAAGGCAGAGATAAATTATATCTAAATATTTTCAGGGTCAGAAGTCTTTAAGCAACTCACATTCCTCCATGAAGATTATGCTGGTAGCCAAATTAATGATATCAGCCAAGCTCTTAAGGAACTTAGCACATAAATTAAAGACATTCAACACAATCCAATTTTAAAGAAACACACTTTATATAAACTTGAAATGACCACCAGCCCTGCTGCCAAGGGCTGCTGAAAGCAGAAGGGACCCGGGCCAGACTATGGCTGCAGAGGCTGTGAGCAGCATGTGGCGGAAGGCAGCCCCTGGAGGGCTTGGGTGATAAAACTCAGAAATGGGATGAAGGCCCCGTTTAATGTCAGGTAGCCAGCGGGGATGTTGTCTTTTTTCTTTCTTTTTTTTTTTTTTGAGGAAGAGCAGCCCTTAGCTGACTTCCATGCCAATCCTCCTCTTTTTTTGCTGAGGAAGACTGGCCCTAAGCTAACATCCATGCCCATCTTCCTCCACTATATGTGGGAGGCCGCCACAGCATGGCCTGACAAGCGGTGTGTCAGTGCGCGCCTGGGATCTGAACCGGGGCCGCCAGCAGTGGAGCGCGCGCACTTAACCGCTACGCCACGGGGCCGGCCAAGGGGATGTTGTCTTTCAATCTTGAAACATATTTCAAAACAGAAGTGGGAACCTCAGGTGATCACCCTGGCTTTTCTAAAGCTCAAACTATATAAACATTGTAGTCTTGACTGGATCATTTTTTTTAACAATTTAATCCATTTCAGAGATTGATTGATTGATTGATTGATTTACTTATTTATTTACTTATTCACTCATTCATTTATTTTGGTGAGGAAGATTGGCCCTGAGCTAACATCTGTGCCAATCTTCCTCTATTTTATAAATGGGATGCCTCCACAGGATGGCTTGATGAGTGATGTGTAAGTCTGTGCCCAGGATCTGAACCTGCGAACCCCGGGGCTGCCGAAGTGGAGCACGAACTTAACCACTACGCCACTGGACTGGCCCCTGGATCATTTTTTTAAAAACACTGTGATAAAATATACATAACATAAATTTAACGTTTTAACCTTTTTTAAGAGTACAATTCAGTGGTATTAAGTTCATTCATATTGTTGTGCAACCATCACCACCATTATCTCCAGAACTTTTTTCATCTTCACAAACTGAAACTCTATGCCTGTTAAACAATGATTCCCCATTCCGTCCTGGCCCCCGGCAATGACCATTCTACTTTTTGTCTCTATGAATCTGACTACTCTAAGGACCTCATATAAGTGGAATCATACAGTATTTGTCTTTTTTTGTGTGTGAGGAAGATTAGCCCTGAGCTAACATCTGTTGCCAATCCTCCTCTTTTTGCTGAGGAAGACTGGCCCTGGGCTAACATCCATGCCCATCTTCCTCCACGTTTTATACGGGACGCTGCCACAGCATGGCTTGATAAGCGGTGCATGGGTCCATGTCCAGGATCCGAACTCGTGAACCCCGGGCCGCCAAAGTGGAGCGTGTGAACTTAACCACTATGCCACCTGGCCAGCCCCTGTCTTTTTTGTGACTGGCTTATTTCACTTGGCGTAATGTCTTCAAGATTCATCCACATTGTAGCATATGTCAGATTTTCCTTCCTTTTGAAGGCTAAATAACATTCCATTGCATGGAATGACCACATCTTGTTTATCCACTCACAACATTTGGATTGTTGTTGAAATCGCACTGCCCTGTCACATTCACTGTCAGTCATGTGTGTGGAATCACAGGTCCTGACCAGGGCCTATGATACCTGTCCATCACTGAGTGTGGGATACAGTGAGAACACTTTCTTTCTGGCCCCAGAACCACCTTAGAAAGCCAGGAAGGACCCACACTTGTTGGTCTTGATCAAGGGCTTCATAGATGTACGAAGCATAAACAGTTAAGAACATCACTTTCTCGTCACAATCATGGGGGGAAAAGGTGACAGCGGACCACGCGCACTCTCTGGATTCTCTTTTATTTGGATTGGGAAAGGCTGTGGGCTTGTCCCGAGCACAAAACTTCTGCAATCATGGAAAAACTCTGCGTCTGTATCTGTCGCCACCACTTCAAATGATCTAAAGTTGAAATAACTGTTTTCTCTTCAAATCAGTGTCTTCTTAAATGGGGTAATTCTATCAATTATCACTAGTCAATGAGAAGCAGCCAATATTTTGAGACTTTTTCATCTCCCATATCCATTTAAGCCTCTCTGCTGGTCACTTCCCTCTTTGCTCCCTTCTCTGGTCTCCCTTTGCTTCCTGCTTGCACAAGGCCTATCTGTCCCAGATCTCCCAGCCCACTGGCCTCCGGGAAGGTTTGCCACAAGGCTGGGGCACAGGAGGAGGAGGAGACACCAGGATTCCTATCTCTCTGCCTCAAATGGCATCTCTGGACAGTGGCTGCTTCTCCTTCATGGCTCCAGCTCCTGCCAGGCAGACGCACATTGTTCTATCTCCCATCTGATGGGCTCTGGTGTCACCACCTCCTCTCATTGTCCCTCTATCCCTAGGGGAGTAGTGGCTTCCTGCCTTTGATAATCTTTGGGTTGCCTCATCATTCTCTTTCTGGATTCTTTGTTGTTCCATTATCGCTATAACTGAGTCTCTTTGTTAAATGCCCAGGAGAACAGAAACCTCTCTAGATCTTTCCTCATTCACACTCAAGAACATGGATGACCTTATTCCTAGGCCCACAGCTCTACAGGGGCAAGCCCTGTACCATTCCACGTCTGGACTCCTCACCCCTTCCTAGTGGCCTTCCTGCCTCCAGTCCATCTCACAGTCTGCTGCCAGATCCCCACCCCCTCAGAGTCGGGCCCCACACCACTGCTCCTACACCACGCACCTCTTCCTTCTCCATGCTCCACCTCACACTCATTCCCACCCCAAGTCATGGCTCATTTTCTTTTCTAGAAGGCTCTCTCTTCACCTTTCTCCTTATTTAAACCCTACCAATTACTCAAGGCTCAGCTCAGGTGGTGCCACTGCACTGAAGCCTTCACTGCCCTCATCGGATAATAGCACTTTCCTTTTCCCACCTCCTATGGGGTCAACTATTTGTTCCCCTCCTTATCCCCACCCACCCTACTCTCTGCTTTTACTTAACTGTTTCATCTGAGTGCAATTCTGTACCCAGGAAGACTGTAAGACCGAGAAGGCAGAAACAATACCTTGCATTTTATCCCTCAGCACTAAAACAACACTCTGCTAAGCATACATCTAATAAAATAATCGCTGCATGAACAAGGAGAATAGTAATAGTATGTTCTCTACATGACAAACACATCCTTCTCCCCAAAGATAACAACTGTTATAGTTGGATCATATCCCCCAAAAAGCTCTGTTGAAGTCCTAACCTCTGATACCTGTGAATGTGACCTTATTTGGAAATAAGGTCTTCGCAGATGTAATCAAGTTAAGATGAGGTCATACTGAATTAGCTTGGGCCCTAATCCAATATGACTAGTGTCCTTATAAGAAGAGGAAAATCCGGACACACACAGATACAGACGGAAGACAGCCATGTGAAGAAGGAGGCAAAGATTAGAATGATGCTGCCACAAACCAAGAAAAGCCTGGGGCTCCCAGAAGCCGGAAGAGGCAAGGAAGGATCCTCCCCCTTAGAGACTTCAGAGGGAGCGCGGCCCTGCCAACGCCTTCATTTCAGACTTCCAGCCTCCAGAACTGTGAGACAATAGCTTCTTGCTGTTTTAAGCCACCCAGTTTGTGCCACTTTGTTACAGCTGCCCCAGGAAACTAATACAACAGCTGAATAAAACAGTTACATCCATATAGATGGACTTGAGTGACATGGTTCTTATATCCTTGCTGGGCACAGGCACAGCGTTGAGCACCTGCAGTACCTAACGGGAACCAGGCAGGCAACGATGGCTAGAGTCTCCACACTTAGAGTCCCCACTGTGCTGAAATGTAGAGTGCTTAAGTGCTGTAGCTAATCCAGCTTCCTCCACTAAGATTCACTAATCCTAACCCTTCGAAGGATGCAAAGACATCTGTTTCACTACACCACTCCACTCTGAAAGGCTCACCTTTTCAGGAATGCTTCCCAAGTCAAACGAGGTCAAACTTTAAATCTTAAAACTCTAGAATAAAATTTCTAGTTTTTAAAACTTTTTTGCTTTGCCTATGACTTTTTACTTTAGTATCCCAATCAAGGTAAATGCAAATAAAGCTTTTAAGGACTGATTTTTAAAAAGAAGCCAAGGAAACAAAAAACGTTCTCTGGTCATGTTCCAGATGTTACCACTCTTCATTTGATTTCCATTTGTCTCCGGTGCCCTCAGCATTTTTTTCCCAGCCTGTGATTTATGATAAAATATACCAAAAACGTCAGGAGTACACAGCCGTAGCTTCAGCTATAAACGATCAGACTGCCCTCGCCACCCCCGCCTGGCAGCCCGGCCCAGGAGCAGGCCCAGACTCACGGTTTTGGAGGGAGTGTAGTGTGTCGGTGATGCTGACGGAGGCCTGGCTGAACTCTGGAAGGAGGACGGGCAGAACCTCTGGCCTGTGTCCGGAGGGGAAGAGGAGGCATAGATGCGATTTTCCAGTCGCTCAGGCTCATGCTGATAGGATTCGAGAGGAAAAGTGTGCTGCTTGGCCACTTGGGTGGGTGTCGACGGAGAGGAAGAGAGGCCTGACGCTGAGGAGGGAACCACAAAGTGCTGTGAGCAGTCGGGCTGAGACGGAGGAAGGCAGAGAAGGCTCTTCCATTTCCAACTGCCAAAAATCTCAGACGGCAAGAATCTAAATCATTAAACTCTGAATTTGGGGGACACGCTTTTATAAGCCTATTTCTAACCCCTTAGAATCAGCTGTGTCCAGATATCCCCTTGTCATCCAATGTGAGTGGTGGGCAGGTCCCCTTGCTGTGAGGGGGCAGGTGCTCACACAGTTCAGAGCCTGCTGGAAAGACTTCTTACGCACACACACACTACATGCTACCTTCCTCCACTGAGTCGAATACCGATTGATCCCTCTCTTCCCCTGCAAGGCACGTTGCCGAAAGCACACGAGTGGAACCCATATTACTGGAGATAAGACATAGGAAAGTTCATCAAGTATTCACCAGACACAAGGTCAATGGGGCAGAAGTCACATGACAACATACACTAAGAACCAGATGAGACATTACTATCAAAATGTGCAACATAACTACTGCCACTGTGAGTTCGCAGTAGTGAGAATTCACTGTGAAGATGCATGCCGGAGGAGACCACAGGGAAGGAGCGGGACTGGGCAGGGGCCTTCAAAGTGAAGATGTAGATGGACAGGAACCAGGAGGAAGCGGATGGGGAGTGGTGACCAAAGAATTGCAGGGAGACTGGGCACGTAAATCTGCCAGGAGTAAGAGGCTGTCCCCTTCAACAGGGTCTGTGCAATCCAGGGGGCCTCGCTCAGGCAGGCAGTCATCACTCACACCTAGCGGATTATGCCATAAAATCATTGTTATGGGTCAGATTGTGTCCCACAAATAGGTATGTTGAAGCCCTAACCCTCAGTACCTGTGAATGTGACCTTATTTGGAAACAGGGTCTTCACAGATGTCATCAAGTTAAGATGAGGTCATATTGGAGTAGGCTGGGCTCTTAACCCCATGTGACTAGTGTCCTTGTAAGAGGAGAAGACTCAGAGACAGACAGACACACAGAGGAGAAGGCCATGTGACGAGGCAGGCAGAGACTGGAGTGATGCAGCAACAAGCCAAGGGACGCCCAGCGCTGCCAGCAAACATCAGAAGCTGGAAGAGGCCAGGAAGGACTCTATCCAGAGTGTCAGAGGGAGCGCGGCCCTGCTGACACCTTGGATTCAGACTTCTAGCCCCTGTAACTGCGAGAGAATAAACTTCACTCAGTTTGTGGTACTTTGTCATGGCAGCTCTAGGAAAACAATACAATAATGTTGCCTGATATTGATTCCTTTTCCAAGAGAAGCAGAATCTGGATTTGGGTCTGCTCTCTCACACTTATAAATAACTAAATAAATTAAACTAAATACTAAATAAAAATTAGTAACCAAATAAAATTTTTATTTTAAATTAGTTATTTAAAAATTGTAAATTATGCAAGTCAAGGCAAACATGTCAGCAGACATGGCCCCGGGCCCCCCCTTGCGACTTCTGACCTAGACTAGACGGGTCAGCCTGCAAAGCCGTAAGCCTGGATCTCCCTCGCCACCGTCCAGACTCCTCCCCTCACAGTCCCTGCACATGTGTGTGTTCCCTCCTCTGCTTCCACCCTCACTCCCCAGAGCGGCCTCCCATTCCTCAGGGGTCAGTCCATCCAATCTGCCTTCTCCTGACTCGACGGCCCTGCGAGTCCTCCCTCCTCCGAGCTCATAAAGCACGTTTCATCTGTACTGCATGTTGTCAGTTAACAACAAGCTGTTTAACACTAAAACCAAATATAAAGGATGTAAGTCTCTTGTCCCCAATAAAATCTACCATCTGTTGTGGGGGCAGGGATCCTGACCACACCCTCTGGGTCCCCACGGCAGCCGCACTGTCCTGGGCGAGGGCAAGGTGTTTGGTGAACGCCCACCACCCAACAGGCAAGGAGAGAGAAGGGAGCAGGGAAGGGCTGAGGCTCAAGCTTAGTTCGAATCTTCTTTCCCTCTCCATGGCTGGAGAGTGTGTGGGGGGTACGTATTTCCTGGGTGGGAGTTTTGGAAGTAACCAGTTAAAGGAAGGGTGCCATTTTCCAGGGAACCCCTTATCCCATGAAGCCACACCACGTGGCAATCCCCGCTCCCAAGCCCCAGGCTGACCTCTGGGAGGCAGCTCGAGCTAAAAGCAGAAGGAGATAGAATGTTCTATCAACCATGTTTTTGTAGGTCTCAAAACTCAAAACATGAAAGGCCTCCAACAACAAAGCCCCAAGGTCTTGAAAACAAAAGTTTTCCCCCAAAGGTCTTGAAAAGCCAGGCCCGCTCTGAGGTGGGGCCGGGAGTGAGAGGAAGAGAGGAGGAGGGAGAGTGGGGACCAGGAGCAGGAAGAGATCTGACGGTTTAGCGGCTCTTCATGGGGACAGGGGAGTGTTCCGGCAGGCAGGCCGACAAAGGGCCGCCTGGTCTGGGTCCGGGCCCTTCTCCAGGCCCGGCTCCAGGCTCCAGCACTGTGGCACCAGCGCTCCGCAGTGATGCTCACAGAATAGCCAGGAATGAGGACGCCCGCCAAGGCCAGAGGGGGCGTGCCGGGCCCTTCAGAGGGCTTTGCTGCCACAGGAGAAGGAAGCTCTTGTGTTGTTTTGTTTGTGCAGCCTGGACACCTCTCGGGCCTCAGGCCCCCAGGGGCAGCGGTGTGTCCTTCAATGGTTCTTCCAGTGACAGAGTCTGCAGCAGCGCACCAGCCTGGCCCCTCACAGTGCAGCCTGCAACAGGCCAGTTCCCAGAGTCACAGCCAGCAGGACATTTGTGGTCTGTGCTCCCAACTCTTGCCCAGGCCACTGGACACAGAGGCCCATCCTGTGCACTTCCCTGGGCCTGCCCTGCTTTCCGGGGGCGAGGGCTGGAGACCTGACAGAGGGGCAGGACAGAGCAGGACGGGATGGGGGTAGTTTAGGCTCAAAAGCCTGTGCCACCAACCACCGCCTAACCACCTGCGAGAGCCCCTCAGGTGGAGCCCCTCTGGGGGCCTCGGTCCTTCATGTAAAGGGAGGGGCCGGCTCAGTGATCTCAGCACCTCTCAGTTAACAGTGAAAAGCACCCCCATCTATTCTAACGCCGGGGACAACCCAAACCAGTCCCTCCATCTTACCTGTGACTCTACTCCCAGACCCAGCTCAGACCTCCTGGCTCAGACCACACCCCACAGGAATTTTCAGAGGCTCAGAGGAAATAGGGGCCTCTGTGGAGGCATTTTGGCACTATGTATCAAAACTACAAATGCACATGTTCCTTGACCCAGCAATTCCGCTTCTGGGAATTTCTGCTGCAGACATATTTGTACCATTGCTAAATGGAGAGGTGTGGGGTCATTCGTCACCATGGGGCTTGTAAAAGCAGAGACTGGAGACACAGACGGTTAGCACAGGAAGAGGTTACATAAATTACGGCATGTCCACACAGACAGCCATGACTCCTACAGGAACATGACAGCCCATCATTCTTGTCATCTCCAAGATACAGTGGAGGTGAAAAAGCAAACTGCAGAGCCATCTGTATGGAATGATACCATTTATAGTTTCAAAACAGGGAAAAAGAATATATATTTATATACACACATATATTCTGCCTGTGTGCATATGCCTAGAGCATCTCTGGAAGGATCTGGAAACACTGGCTGTGTATGGTGACAGGAACAACTAGTGGGGAAGACTTTCATTGTATACCTTCTTCTATTTTTTAATTTTTATATCACGTGAATGTATTACCTATTCAGAAAATTGCCGTTTTCAGCCACTGTTCTGCTTTTGAGCCAAGAGGCTGGCTAACACTGTATTTAAGTGCCTCCTGCCTCCTGTCCTGATCCCAGCTGCCCCTACCAGCTCTGTGGAGGGCCGTCTCCTGGACTAGATGACTAGCCAGAAGCCCTGGAGGGCAGGCCCGGTGTTCCCCGGCTCGCTGTTGTCTACAGAGTGTGTGCTTCCTCCCCCATTTCTACCTCACAGTCTCTATCCCTGCCAGAGGCTGCCCCACGGACAACATTCTTCAGGGACGAAGCCCAGTCGCCATTGCGTAAGGGACACGTGTAGCTGGTGGAACTGCTTGCTAGTTCTTTGGGTACAGAATGTTTGTTTCCCAAGCGTAAATAATAAAAAGAAGGTGACTAAGCAGCTTGCCACTAAGAGGGCTCTTCAGAGCACAAATGGCAGCTTCTGCTTCTCCTGTGGCTCATCCTCTGCAGGCTGTCCCCGTGTGAATACTGCAACGATCCTAACCCAATCCCAATTGAGGGCATGAGAGAAGGCTGGATGCAGAAGATGCATACCCCTAGACAGAACTTTGTTGAACTGCTTGGGATGAGGAGAAGACAAAGTGGGCTTTTCATCCGGTGGTGGGAATAATTTGTTGCTGGTAGAATGGAATGATTCTCCATGCTCCTCGAGAAAGCTCCTCTCATTGAAATCTTCCAAGTTCAAAAGATGCTTCCATCTTTCCACCTGGCCTTCCTGCCTCCTCCCTGCTCCCTTCCCAGAGCGAGTGATTCTTGTGGGGGAAAACAGGATGATACTCTGGACTGGAGAGTGGGGGAAGGGAAAGTTGTGGAGAGAGGGGACAGGTAAAGTGACGTGTGGATTAGGAATACGTGTGTAGTTTAGGGACGCAGGGAAAGAACCTTCCTAGAACCAAAAATACGCCCCTCTTTTCACTGACAGCTGAAATACCTTTAAGAGGGGCAGAGTCTCGCCGTAACATCTCTTTTTGCATCGTGTCTCACTGCTTGCCAAGGGCTCTTGCACACCCCGGCTCCGTTTGCTTCCCGGAGCCACCCCATGGAGGAGGGGCAGGTTTATCACCCCCCTTAACAGGTGAAGAAATGAGTGACTAGAGAAGTCCCTTATCCATGGTCCTTTAGAGAGTAAACAGCAGAAATCACACCTGAATCCAGTGTCCTCACCCCAAATCCCAAACTCTTTTTTGCCATGATTACACTGGGATATTGCCAAGAGAAAGAACACAGACTTAAAATCACATTTTGGGTGC